ACGTGGTGAATGTTGTTTTTGTTGCCTCTTGAAATTAGTGCCGAACAAAAATTTGCATCTAATGTTTTTATAGAAGAACATAAGAATCTGCACGCCATTTTTTTTGCATCGTCTATGTTGAATAAAGAAAGAAAAACAATACTGAATACGAAAACAGATAAGGACGTAGTAAGAACGGTAAGAGCCAAAAAACAACAACACAGTATTTTAAAATGCAAAAAAGAAAATGCGTAATGAAACTTGTGAAAGAAAATTAGTCAAATACAAAGGAAGAAGAACAGAAAAAAAATGCAGAATTTCAACTATCCATGTTCTTCATAGTAATTTACTTTTTACAGAATTTTCTAAATATATTATTTTAATAGTTAAAATATAAGACTAGCGACTATTTTTTCTTGTAATTCACGAGTTTTTATTCGTATGTTCTTCAGGTAAAATGAGTCATTAAAGCGATTTAAATCAACTAAGTTTACTTTTCATTCTTTTCGTTTTGATCGTCGACTGATTTTTGCTGTTAAGTAAGTGTAAATAAATCAACTAACATTTTGAAAAAAAATCAGTAAATGCTTTCAACTGAGTATTGTTGACGACAAACAAAACGAATTATTTCTTTTTCTTTTACTCTATATAAATACACCCCGTCAATTAATTTAAACGTACGCAAATCAACAGTCAGACATGCAGCCCTATCCATATGGTCAATATGTATATCCAAACGCTGCACCAATGCCCGTTCGGTATATGATACCACCTGGACAAAGACAACCATCTCCACCATTTGCTAATCAAGCGTTTAATCATTATGCGACAGTACCAGCGAATGTTCGCCCTCCACAAATTATGACACAACCAATACGTTATCCACCTGTATATGCTCAACCTGGTATGCAAATGCCATATGGTCCACCTCAACAACGTCAACCACCTGAGCAATTACGACCACCACAACCATATTATTATAATCCATATGGTTCTAATCAAGAAACTTCTACAGCCTCACCCGATCCAAAAACACCAGCACCTAAAAAAGGTCTAAAAGAATATAAAGATAATGCATTTACAATTGCACCAGATGGTGCACAAAATGAAACAATAAAAGGTCTTGTTTCTAATAATGATATTAATGATTTATTAAAACATAAAGGTACTAAAGTTAAAGTTTCGAAAATTTATCGAATTACAAAAACTAAACCTGATATTAAACCGGATGAATCAAGTGATGAAGACTTACCACCTATACCAGTAGCACAAGCTCGACCACAAACCATTCAACGACCAGTTTCATCATCATCATCATCATCATCATCAAGCTGTAGTCATTGTTCAACATGTAGCAATTGTTCTTGCTCTGAATGTCGTGATCGATATCGATCACATACATATGATGATTGTCCAGAATGTCGTGCTGAACGAGATCGAGAACAAGCTAGACGACAAAGACGTAAATGAAATTAATGTTATATATATTTTCTAAGAACCACAATATAAATATATAATTTAAGCATAAAAAAAGAAAATATTTTTTTCTAATAAAATTGTTTTCACATTTTTAAATTTTTACATGAAAAGCTAAAAGTATGAAAATCTATTCATTGCTCATTACTTCACATGACTTATCAGCGACAAATTTTTCTTGTTCTATATACTTTATCTACAAGCGAATCTATGCTTGATTCATGTTTAAAATAGGATTAATCTGACAAATCATCGATTCATGGTTGTACAAAATTTATCAATAACAGTTGAAATTTTGTGCATATGAATTATTCTTTGGTTCATACACTGTATTTGCCACAAGTGATGCTTTATAGAAAAATAATTAACAAAATTATTTTCTTTACTTAAAATAAAAAAAGACGAATACTGCTGCACATTAAAATCCAGTCAATCGGAATCAATGTTTTAGACCTTTAAAAGTTATTTGTGAGACGAGAATTCAAACAATTGAGAGGCAAGTGGATCTTTGGCCTAAAATTATAGTTGAGTAACCATGACTTGAAGCCGGTTGAAATCAATATTTTTCAGAATCTTTTATTGTAATAATACCAGAAAAGAGATGATAAATAGATTCCTCTCCACAAACATTCAATAATAGACAAACAAAGTTTTCATTTTATTATTGAGTTTTATTGTACAATAATGATTACAAACGAACATTCAATAGACATACATTAATTAAAGTTCTCCAGTAAAATTTTTCTTCTTTAAGTCGCACTTTCACTAACAGTACCCTTGATTCTTGTTTGAATGCTTCGACCATTTGTTAATGTTCTCAAACTAAATTCTCTTCCATCGTCTCCTACTTTTCGAAACCAGAAAAGTCTAAGTAACTCCTGCCGATAAATACGAGATGACATTGTAAAAATATAAAAACTTGTTACATAACTAACAAATAATGGTATAGTAAAGATTTGATTGAAAAATCCAAATAAATCTGTACGTCGATCAGTTAAAAAACCCACTAAATTAAGAATAGCAAATGGTAGAATAGAAAGAACTTGTGTTATAATTTGTGCAAATAACATTCGAATTAAATGACGATCAAGACGACGAGAACCATCTTTACCAGTTCCTAAGACAGGTTGAATTCGACGTGATTGTTGACGAATATTATTTAGAGTGAGTGCACACAATACAGTCATACAAAAAGATGGCAAAATACAATAAATTACCAGATAAAATATTCGATAAAATAACTCATATGGACCCGGTCGAGCATTACAGGTAAAAGAAGAACCTGTTCTAATTATTTCGTAGAATATTGCCATATGAAAATATAAAATACAAGCCAAAATAATTGCTCCAATAATTAATCGTTTTGCTACTTTTTTATTACACAATGATCGACGTGTAGCTGATGCTGAACTTGAACAATATCGATCAAAACAAGCCAATGTATAGAAATATGGTGATAAAGCAAAAAATACATAACCAAAATAAAATCGTAATTTACACATAACATCCGATGTTTTTGCTACATCAAGAGAGTATCCATTGGCTAATAAACGAGTTAATAATGATATGCAAATAACCAGAATATTATCAACCGAAGCAGCAATAAGATATAATGTGCATGATGATCGTGAAAGTGTCCGACGCGTAAATATAAATAAATTAAGACCATTACCAATCATTCCCAAAATAATGAATACTATTAATACTACTCGTAAAATTTGCAGAGCAATATCTACCAACATTGTTTTTGTTTTATGCTAATAAAAAGAAAAGAATTTTTCCACTATCTATTTCAAAAAAAAAAAAACTAAACGAAAAAAAAAGCAAGAATAATATGATAGGTTGCTAATTAAGAAAACTATGAGGTCATTTTTCATCTACTATTATTTTTTGCGAAAAAATCACTCAGACATAACATCCATGCCAGATGTTAGTTAACAAACTGATCGCAAATATTATTTACACATTTCAAAATATATGATGTTTTGCTCAAGTAAACTAACTTTTATAGGTAGGCGTGCATTCCGCGAGATTTTTTTGTTCAAAATCTCACCAGGAGTTCTCTCGGGCGACGATGATATAATTGAATATAGAAATTTGAAAACATTAAATATTATCACTGTCGCTTGGGAGAATTTCAGGTAAGATTTTGAACAAAAAAAGAAGTTTTCTTTTCAATGATGTGATATGGATTCTTCGATGTAGTTGTTGTCACTGACTACGATTGTGGTGTTTTTTTTTTGGGAAACGTGTCTGAAGGCGCTTTTAACATTCTTTTGCAAGGCGTCTCTCATCCATATAAATCCATTCCTTACAGAAGGCGTTCAGAAATGTTCTATGTGATTTTATTGTCTTATTTTGTGAATGCGTTTTTTTCCACGATAGAACATGTTTCAAATGAACGTTAAGCCTTTATCCCCATCAGCGACTAGAATCACCATTTTTAGAAACATTGTAAAAAATGCAAAACATGAAATATTAAAAAACTCCTTGCATATTATGCGTAGAGAATTCTCTAAGCTACTTATTGATAAAAAAAATCATTTTGTATTACATATGTATGCAAGATGTACAACTTACAGCAGAGGATTATGAGATTATTAACGAAAAGAATCTTTTTTTTTATATATAATTGCTTTTTTTACTAACGAGAACGAAAGTTACTGCTATTACATATAGTACGTTTCAAAATGCTCACACTAATAAGTTGAACAAGAGATTCTACGATATAAAATCGAAACCCTAGTTGTCATTCGGGAGTAATAGCATGAAAAACAATGTAGAACATTTTTATCTAAACATAATACTGGTTAATATTAATACATAGATAAGTAAACTGATTACTGTTGTTCATAAATACAAACATTATTTGTTGTTATATAAATGTTTGATAGTATCATCCATCCTGTAGTCCACCAGCCATCTCTCTATGATTGTTTTCTTTTCTTCTCAAATATACAAAGCTGTTCTGAATGAGTGTGAATGGAGGGTCTAAAGATCTTCACTTCCACAGCATCCACACCTTGTTCACAAAAGATAAAACATTGGATTTTTCATGTCATTACCCTTCAATCGGAACTGGCTTTGCTAGTTTACCCTGCACATATGAAACGGCACTTTTTATAAGAAATCAGCAGTTTTCGACTAATTTTACAGTTTAAAGTTGCAGCAAGATTAAACTCGAGCTTTTATAATCGTGATCTTATATGCTTTGGATAGATCATCAAAATTTTGTCTGTAAAACATATGTTTAACTATTTCAGACTTGTTCGTAATAAAGACTAACAATCAAAACTAAATGTCTCTCGAAATGCAAGCCTAACTGTAAAACTTAATTTATTTGATTAAAGTTTCATATCTTTTGAAATATGCAGGTGGTATTTGCAGCCTGCATGAAATTCTGCATCGAATAATTTGCTTACTGCCATAAGTCGATACGGAAAATTGTCGGTCGATTCCTGAGGAAAAAGGAAGTAGTGCCGGTTTGAAAGGTCAGTTAGACGAGTTTCACAAAGCTGAGTAGTACAAAATATTCTCCATTTTTGCCTTACTGTGTCTAGATCTTGTTTTTTATATGGAAATAATGGTGGCTGACAAATGGCCTGATCACCACTCTTATGAGAAAACTGTTATTTTTCTGGGACTTCCATCAAAGTTTAAATTTTTTCTTAATAAAATCATAAGAAATTGCTCACTTACTTTTTTTTTGTGACGGATGTTAACAAAATATAATGATATGATGTGCTATTTTCGAAATGTTTCTCTTGTAGTCGCTATTTATTTGAAAAAAATGTCCCATACGCAATGGGCTGAAGGAAGTTTTTTTTAATACATTATTCTATATTAGTTTTATGAGTTTGAGCAAATAGCAATATTAGTTAACTATTTTTGTTAACATATTGTTTTGAAAAAAATCACGGTTAATTAATCCAATCCTTTGAATATTAACTTTCTGATATTTAATTTCCTATCTTCAGTAAGGCCAGAAGACAATATAATATTTAATTAGCTGTAAGGTGAATATGACAATACGTCGAAAGCAAAATAATATAATGATTTTAATAAATAAAGATTAGTTTTTTTTAACCTTCTAAGCTTTTTTTCCGCAAGAGTGGTTTCATGACAGCCAATAATTAAATGATCTTATAAGTAAAGCATTAGCATGTCGAATATGGCAATGATTTATTCTGATCTATCTGTTGTTCTGCTCTTTACGTACATTGGTTTTGATTGCTTTAATAGTCATTTGGTAAAAAAAAGAAGATTCACCGAGATGAGAAATTCTGATTTGCTTTGTCCTTTCATGACAGTAGTAAATGGATAAAAATCACTTATATTACATAGTATTTTGAGTAGTGGAAAAAGGAGGGAATGTTTACATTCAAAATAATTTTGAAACAGTACATCTGCTTTTGACACATATTGTCAAATAATCATCTACTTTTTTGTTTGAGGCATTGTATAACAAATGAAGATATTTCATCCATATTTTAAATATGTGATTCTAACTTTTTACATGATGAGGCTTACAACCCGCGCATTGACTTTATTCTTGATTCTCTTCTTCCGGCTCATTAATAGTAATATAGGCCATATTGTGACTTATTCTTTGCAATTCCTTAAGCTATTGTAGTATTTTCGAAATATAGATTAAATGCTAGTGTGCCTCTGCATTAATCTATATCATATAAAAAGATCCAAAGATCTCTAATGCCCATAGGTAGAGAATATCATTTTTTTCAAAATGATTGATACTTCGGAGATGGAGTGATGGAGCGAAATATTCTTTTTATCAATCAACAGTTCATAAAGTTTTGCTACGAAAATCATGTTTTTGAAATTTCGAAATTCTAGGCGAGTGTGAATGTGCATCAAAAGAAGACCCGCACCCACACTTTGAACAATAATCCACTTGAATTTATGATGATAGTAAAGCTGAAACTTCTAATTCTCTTTCGTTAGATTGAACAAAAGCGAGAACGAGTTAGAATTTGTTCTGAAAAATAGTGAGGTTGTGTGCAAGTCGCCTATGCAAGTTGAATTAATAAAGATCAATCATTAACAACTATTACTCGTCGAAGTAGATTTGAATCAAAACCTTTATTATTCGCATTCTTTAAATTAAATAGTCCTGTTCTTATTTATAATTTTGATTAATGCAAGATTATAGATCATAACTATTATATTGAAAAGTGCTTCAAGCTTTTTGTGAATGAAATATGGAAAAAAAAGAGGAGAGTCATCAGATGCAAAGAGTATAAAATTACTTCATGACAATATTTTAACTCATACTCATTCAGATGTTTTTAATTATTTAATGCAAGGTATCAACATCGTAGGGTGTGGATGTGGATCTAGGACAAGTAAAAAAAATTACATCCACACCCATCCAAATTTTCACCATCAACTAATAATATTGACATACAAGCAAGTGACCACATATGTAACTTATTATAAACAGCTGTTGACTAACAACCTAATGAAAAAGATCTCTTTAAAAAAATTTACTTCTGACAGAAGTTGATAAGACATTGTTTTTAGTCTTATAAATATTCAAGTGAGAGAAAATTTTAATTTTTTTTTTTATAAGATTTTCCAAATTTTAAAATCTATTCTGTCGAATCAATTGCATCCAAAGAGAATCGTTTGCAAAAAAACAAAAAAAAACAATTCCTTTTTTTAAGCAATCGTAAATAAGAGAAATACCAGTATCTCATCTTTCGCATGTTTTCATAGATGACTGAAACCAAGATAGAATAACTCGACTGTATTTTACAATTGAAAGAGTTAATTTACTCAATCGATTAAATAAATTTCTCTGAAAAAACGACTTTTCTCTAATAGCTTTTTATCAGTTTAATTTTAACTAAAAAAATAGAATAAACATATAACATGGTTTGATATCTTTCCATGGTTCAAGCATCAATTGTTTAATATCAACAAAAAGTAAATTTCATTATTTAATCATCCTTTGATATTGATAATAGGCTATCAGTGAGATATATACTTCAAATTGCTTCTCATAAAAAAATTCCCTATATCAATAATCAAAATGTAATTTTCAATAATATATTTTAATCAGACATAAAGAAATTTTATTGTGTAAATCTAAGAAAAAGAAAAGAAAAAAATTGAAGGAAAACTCTTCTTAATCTGTTTGATATATACTCATTTGACTACAGCATCAATTTTCAATCCAAGAAATTTGTTTATTGAATGATAAAATAATATTTAACTGTTGATATCATATTCTTGATTTTGAAAATGACATTAAAATCCTAGAGATAGGAATAAGTCAATCGATAGAAAGACCAAACTCAATATTTCATATTATGTCTTGTCTTTTTAAAACTTTTCTTTATTGAAAAGAATTAAATCATAACAAATCCTATAAGATCAAAAATTCTATCAAGAATCAAAACAAAACCAAAAAAAACTTGATTGATTATAGTCAGTTTCAATTCCGAATAACCATTCATATTTCTCCATTTTCTTTTGATTTCGTTCAAAATTTTTAACATATTATTCATAGCCTTAAGTCATATCGATAGCTAATAAAAAGTCTCTTTATGTAAGGACAATTGAAAGAAAATTGATTCAAAATTCATTGATATTTCGAAGGTTTTTGATGATATTTATGTTAAATTTTACAATAGATTAAATTCAATTTCATCTCAAACTTTATGTTTCATGAAAAATCCAGTTTGCAGTATCTTAGTATGTTTTTTTTCTATACTTATCATCAAATTTAGTAAGAGAGTCATATATGAAATTTCGTACAGCATTTGCAATGATCGAAAATGATAATTTATTTCTCTATATATGATATGCATAGTCAATCGTCGCATAAGAAGAGTTTAATCTTCTGATGAAAATGTATTCATAGATAGAAAAAAAAACGATCTTAAATGCACTTGATTATTGCACATCGATCAATACGTAGATTTTATTAGGTTGAAAGAAAAATCAAATTTATATTGTTCTGTACATGATCATTTCCTTTGCAGTGTTGATTTGATACAGGAATCAATATTAAGATAGAGTTGAGATTTCAATATGATTATAAATGATCATTAAAGAAAATTCTCTAATAAATGACGAAAAACTATATCTCAGTATTTATTCGAATATATTAACAACAATCCTACGATTTATCTTTTTTTTAGTTATGTACAAAGATTTTTATTGATATAATCATAAATAGGATATAAAACTCAAATATATATATATACGATGATGTAAAATAAAAATGAAGTATTATTGACAATATTTTTATAAATAATAATCTTCTCCAAAGTTAGTAAGAAAACGAATTTAAATAGTCTTCATATCTTTGTTTAAACATTCTCTTCTTCTGATATCCTACAGACATTTTCTCCTTCCGTTTGTGTTTCTCTTGAAGTATCTTTGTTTTTCCATTGCTCATTCACATATATATTAGTGACTATTCGAAAAATAAAAGAGAAACTCAATATTGATCTGTTAGATCAATTATATGTTAGTAGTCTCTTATGACACGATTACAGCACATGTCATAACATTGTAAATTTGTCTGAATAGCAAATAAACATTTTATAAAGAGTGTTATGTTTGGATTATTGTTATAAGATTTGCAATAGATGTACCTTCATTTAGTATAAAATTAGGTTCTATATGTCTTATAATGTAAGAGAGCGAGACTTAAAAAAGGCATCTATTAGTGCAATATGGAAAGAAAGAGTTAATATAATACCATGAATTGCAACGTCTGTCAGAATTCTAGTGAAAGGATCGTTAAATAACAGAGACCTTGGCCATGTCATTTGTCCCAATGCTACAATATATATTATGATACGTAGTTTAATATTCATACCTATTTTTTCTGTTCTTTTTTGTTCAAACAATCTCGCTCTATACCTTCTCTGTATGATCAAAAAACAATTGAATGACTCTCTAAGTATTAAAAAAAAATGCAATAAGGTAATCAACCTATTTTATCCGTGTTTGTTATGCATCAACTACTTTGCATACAAAAGGAAAGAAACAGCGTGGATACCATATTGATAGATAGACTCTCAATGTGGAGAAAAGAAGGTTGATTGTAAGACAGATTATTATCAAGATTATAGAGAAACAGCAGATTCATTCAATGTATAGTTAAAAAAAATTACTATGCATTTATAACGACGTCCAAACAAGTTAGATATTGATCGACATTGAAGCAAGAAACAAATTGAAACTAACCGTACCTACGTCAAAATTTATAAAAAGCAAAGAAACCTCTTCATTCTTGCTATTGTTGTTGCCATTGTAAACTTATCTATTATCATGGATTCAAGTCCTTATTTAATCAACAAGATCCATCTTATGATGTGTCGAAAAACAATAATATTCATTCTGACCACAATCGGTACTTGTTTTTTGATCATCTATTGCTGTTGCATGACAGATTTGACATTAATTCCACTAACTATACGTCAGATTAGGCAAGAACAATTGTCTTTGAACAATAGCACAGAAGATGGATGGATATCTTCATCTCTTTACAATGAACTACAGTCATATTTGCAATCGGTTAAATCAATACGAGCGAAACTACCCAAAATAGTTCGTGTAACTAATGGAAAATATATTATAGAACCATTCAATAAAAACTATATTCAATGGACTAAAAATAAGAATTTCAAAAATTATCCATATTCATCTTGGAAATGTTCCAATACATCTTCTAAAGAACCTGATAACCATGAATATTGTTTTCTAACCAATATTTATTTCATTTCAGCCAACAATACCTACTATTATTATCGTGACCCATCAGAAAACAAAGGGATGACTCGAGATCGATTTATATCCTCACATGGTACAGTTCAAGTTTATATTCTTGATGATATAACAATGATAAAACAACATGGTGTTTCAGCCATTTTAACACAACCAATTCATGTGGGTGGTGGACCTGATTCTAATTATGTTCATGGATTTCTTGAAAGATATGGTCCTCTTTTTTGGACTCTCTCTGAAATTCAATCTCATCGAACATATATTAATCCAAGTAAAATTCAACTTTATTATTCATCCAAAATGCATACAGATCATGGACGCAATGTATGGTTACCTATAGAACGACTTTCAGATGGAACCTATCAACATAGAGCTCGATGGACTAATGCACTTAATGCAATGTTCTCAATTTATCCATTATTAACTTACAAATCATTTGATGAAGCAACAATCATGTTCAAATATATGATTTTCACTGGAATGCCATATAAACGATCACCTTGCTGGGGTATTCATCAGGAACCAAATAGACTACTTAGTTATTATCCATTTGATATACAAGAATATCGACGAGCTTATTTAACATTTTCAGAATGGATATTGAATAATTTTGAATTATATTCTAAATTCGAATTGACATCTATTCAAAAGAAATTACAAGAGAGTCATAAATCAGAACAAATACCTATCTGTTATGAACAATGTCAAAATCAATCGTTTAGTAATACATCATCAACAGAAACAACATTTACTGGAGATTATATTGCTGTTATGAATCGAGCCGGTATCGGTCGGCGAGAATTAACTAATGCTGATGAATTAGTGGAAGCACTATTGAAAGCATTTCCTGATCATAAAAACCCTTATCTACGTGTTTGGCCAAAACAATTCGATTTTAATGATGATCTCTATGAAACAGCACGAATGGCTCGATCAATTCGTGTTCTTATCGCAGTGCATGGAGCTGGTATATCGAATGCTATTTTCATGCGACCAGGTACGATTCTCTATGAAATCACTCCACCTGGTTGTCGTATGTTGACATTTTTTTATCGACGTTGGGCCGAAGTATTCAATCTTCAATATGCACTATGGAGTCCTGGAGATAAAGGTGATGCTTGTAAACATGAAGGAAACACTAGGGTGAATGTGGCTGACGTTGTTAGTGATGTCATCAACTTAGTTCAAAATGAAAATCGATATAGAAGTGGTTATATATCACGAGCACTCGATATTATACGGAAAGAATAAGAATAATCCAGACGGTTAACTTTAAAGAGTGAATGTAGGGTGTGGGTGTGAAGTTTAGCGAAAAACTGACACCCACACCTCACTATAACTCGGTGAAGAATCTCGTACAGTAACAAAAGCCATCGAACAATAAAATAATCCACTGGCAATTCTCTTACTGAAATGGATTATCAATAAAATCGATAATTTTCAATCATATAGTCTTGAATGTCTTTGTTTACTGGAAAGAGTGCATTCTTATAATTTAATTGAGAACCTATTTTGTTTTTCTTTTTATTTATTTAGTAAGAAAAAAATTCCAACTATCTTTTTAACTTTAACAATTAGCAAAAGAAAAGAAAGAATATGAATCAATATCGTCGTAGTATGTCATACAAATAATGTTGATAAACAGACGAAAACTAGAAAAATATCAATCCGATTATCGAACTAACTAAGCTTTTTTTTTCTTCTTTCTAAAATTATACAGAAAAGAAATGTATTTGTTGTACGAATATGCAGTACCTTGAGAGCATTTTATCAATGTCATAGTAAACATTAATGTTTTTTTTTGCGGCTTCAATCGATTCGACTACTTTCGTTTTATAATAGAATTTTATTGTACAATAATGATTACAAACGAACATTCAATAGACATACATTAATCAAGCTTCTCAAGCTAGATGTTTATTAAATAAGTTCATTGAAATTTTTATTCTTCAATTTGCAATTTTACTAGTAGTACCCTTCCTTTTCGTTAGAGTATTTTGGCCATTTACTAATGTTCGTAAACTGAATTTTCTTTCATCTCCTCTTGCTTTTCGAAACCAGAAAAGTCTAAGTAACTCTTGTCGATATATGTAAGATGACATTGTAAAAATATAAAAACTTGTTGCGTAACTAATAAATAATGGTAGAGTAAAAATTTGATTGAAAAATTCAAATAAATTTGTACGTCGATCAGTTAAAAAACCCACTAAATTAAGAATAGCAAATGGTAGAATAGAAAGAACTTGTGTTATAATTTGTGCAAATAACATTCGAATTAAATGATGTTCAAGACGACGAGAACCATCATTACCAATTGTGAAGACAGGTTGAATTCGACGTGTTTGTTTATGAATATTCATCAGTGTAAGTATACACAATACAGCCATACAAAAAGATGGTAAAATACAATAAATTACCAGATAAAATATTCGATAAAATAACTCATAAAGACCTGGTTGAGCATCACACAAAACCATGGAATCTTCCGTAATTATTTGGAAGAATATTGCCATATGAAAATATAAAATACAAGCCAAAATAATTGCTCCAATAATTAATCGTTTTGCTACTTTTTTATTACACAATGATCGGCGTGTAGCTGATGCTGAACTTGAACAATATCGATCAAAACAAGCCAATGTATAGAAATATGGTGATAAAGCAAAAAATACATAACCAAAATAAAATCGTAATTTACACATAACATCCGATGTTTTTGCTACATCAAGAGAGAATCCATTGGCTAATAAACGAGTTAATAATGATATGTAAATAACCAGAATATTATCAATTGAAGCTGCAATAAGATATAATGTACAAGATGATTTTGAGAGTGTCGGACGTGTAAAAATAAATAAATTGAGACCATTACCAATTGTTCCCAAAATAATAAATGTTGTTAGTACAACTCGTAAAATTTGCACAGCAATATCTACCAACATTATTTTTCTTTTATGCCAATCAAAAAAAAAAAACAATTTTTCCACTATCTATTTCAAAAATAAAAAAAAAGCAAGCATAATATAACAGGTTTCTAATTAATAGAACGATTATGTCATTTTTATCCTCTATTATTTTTGAGCAAACTCACCTAGATATAGCAAATCGATCATAAGAAACATTTCGTATGACTAGATTTTATGAAATTTATGTAAACAATTTTTGCAACCAGAAAACTCCACTTCAGATAAAGGTCGAAAACTTTGTGTCTCTGTTTATTGTAATAAACAAGTCACTCGATGTTAGATTTCATGTTGCTTGCAAATTGATCTCTGTACAGAAAAAATTCTGATAAAAGGAAAATAAGAAAAACAGCTGCAAAAAAAAACTGGCGTTGATGATCGATTTCTATGGAAAGAATAATTAAAACCTTCGGTTTCCAAGCTATTAATAGACTTTCTTCAAATTGAGAAAAAAAAAAGTCTTATTATATTACCGATTCAAAATAAGATCAAAAAATGTTTCATTAATTATTTTATTTTTGAAGTATTAATTTATCTTAATCTTTCTTTTTATATAAAGGGTAAAGACAAAAACAATATTTCTTATAAAAAATTGACGATAAATGAAATACTTTATCTTTTTAAAAAATGAAAACAAATTAATAGTTTATTATTTTTCTCAATATGTTATTGAAATCCTTTAATTGCAGTTCTTGCTTGTATATTGTCACATCTATAGTGGTAACACAAAAGATATCTAGTTTCATTATAAAAGATGCATTAAGATCCTAAAGAAGCCAACTTTTATACATGGAAAATGTGCACAATTTTTTTCCCAAACTATTTGACATGTTTTGCAGACAAAAACACATTCTTGTCTGCACAAACCTTGTTTGATGAAAGCAGCTGGTTTTGATCTTTTCTCAATGTACATGAAAACACGCGAACTATATTTTGCCTAGAGAGAGTAACTTAAAATCTCTAATTGTCTTCATAGCTAAATAAATCTTCAAATAAGAATATTACTAATTGTCGAACTATTACATCTAGAAACAGTGTTTATATAGCTAGCACTCTCATAAAAAGTAAAAATATTGAAGATGAATATAAGTAAATACGACTTTGTGTATAAAAATATGTTTAACTATTTCACAGTTGTTTATAATATAGACTGACAATCAATACTAAATGTCTCTCGGAATGTAAGCCTAACGGTAAAAATTAGTTGACTTGAGCAAAGCTTCTTATCTTTTGATATCCAAATGTGACATTCGTAATCAGCATGAAATTTCACATTGAGTGATGTGCTTACTGAAATGAATGGAGAGAAAAAGTTGTCGATCATTTCCTGAAGTGAGGGTATCGAGTCAAAGAACTGTTTAGAAGGATTTGACAAAACTGACTCGTACAAAATATTCTTCATGACTAACAATGGTCTTATTGCTACTCACCATTTGAAAATGAACCTTATGAGCAAATTGTTGTTATTTTTATAGAAATTAAAATATAGTCTAAGTTTTGTTTTAATAGAAAAAAACAAGAAGTATGTCATTCGCAATTTTTCTCTGATAGATGCTTAAAAAAAGATACTAATTTAATGTGCTGCGTTTCAATTGTTTCCTCTTATTTCTATTTTCTATGTATTTGAAAAAAGTCGATTCACACTCTGAAAGAAAAAACTTTTCTTAATGAATTATTTAATACTTATTTCATGGCTTTATGCAAATTGTCATATTAGTTAGAAATTCTCTATTAACATACTTTTCTTAAAAGAAAATAGGTTAAATACTTTGCGCTTGTTAACTTTGGCTTATCCATATTTAGTTTCCTATAAGGATTAAGATCACATCACAAGATGAAATGCAACGAATCGTAGAGTGAATATGACAATATATTGGAAGAAAGTCACTCGGTGATTTTAATGAGGCAACATAGTTTTTTTTCACCTTTAATCTCTTGTTTCCCTCGCTGACAGTAGTTCTATGACAGTCATTGATTAAATAATTTTATAAATAGAACAGTCACCGATCTAATAAGAAAATGGTTTGGTCTGATTCATCAGTTGTCTTGCTCTTTAGGCAGGATAATTTTGGTTAGATTAGTGCCTATGTGGTAAAAAAGAGAGATTAATTGAGATAGAAAATCCTCACTTTTCTTCTTTTATGATAGTATTAAGTGAACAAAAGTAGCTGATATAACATGATATTTCAATTACTGGAAGAAGAAAGGTATACATGGATAGAAGTTTATTTTGAAAAAGTATGTCTGTTTTTGACATATCTTGTCAAATAATCATTAATTTTTTGTTTTAAATAATTGATAATCAATGAAGACATTTTATTTCAAATTCTTACATGCATCAACTTTATTCGTGATTATTCATTTTGGATTCAATAGTTGCAATACAGTTTAGTTTACAACTTATTCTTTGTAATTCTCCAAGTTACTGTGGAACTTTCGAAACTTATTTGAATCACTGATGAACTTCTTCTTCTCTCTGTATCATATAAAATGACTCAAAGTGTTTAGAATCATTCGATAACCATAGGAAAACTCCTATAATTTTCAGCTGAAACATAGCAGAGACATACCTTCAGAATATCATTTTAGAAAGTCTACATCAAGAATTCATTCAAATGATCATTCACTGACCAATCAAAGTTGATATACTTTGCTGTCCACGCGTCATTTTTCTTGAATATCGAAAACCCTAGGTTCCTATTGAGAATTATTCAAAATACATCGACCTGCTTGTATTTTGGTGTCGATGATAATAGACCTCTCACACAAGGAGATCGATATAGTTTTCAAAAGTACAAGACACAGAGCATAGATTCTATACTGTAGTGAATTTTATTTCTGGTATATGAGAGCAAATGAAGGGATTGCTGTGAAATCGAATATAATCAAATATGAATAAAGAATACAAGTCAGAATAATTACATCCAATAATGAAGTTCACAGATCGGAAAATCCCAATGGATCAGTAAAAGCCATTAAAAATATTTATCCAGCGCGTTTTTACCTTTAATATCCACTCAGGTATAGAACAAACTTTTTATTACCGTTCTATGAGAGTTCTATATAGTTCGATAGGGCTGAGTGCACTGGTTAAAAATATCATATCGTTTTGAAAAGTACTCTCTGTTAGTCTTAAGAAATTAGTTTATGATAAAGTTTATTAGAGGCATTTCGTCCTAATCACAATACTTGATAGGCTATTTGTGTCTTTTTTTGACTAATATTCGATGGCTGTTGAGCAGAACTTCCTTTGTTTGACTTCACACAAATATCATATTTGAAATCCAC